TTCAGTGGGTGAAGATGGAACTAATTCTGGTCATGTATTAAAGGATAAGAAGCGTGTTCAAAAGGTAGAAGTGTATTGATGTTTTCAATGTTTTGTTTCTTTTTCAGTCTTTAATGCAGTTAGCTTTTGTTTTTTGATAGATAGATTGAAGTTGGCTGCTTTCTTAGGATGTTCACAACTTTTTGGGTCTTGACCTTCTTCTTCTGGACTGAGATAGTTTTCAAATCTCTATATTGCAATCATATTGTATCATCTTTTTACTATTTCCACTATTATTCTGATCCATTCATTTTAACCATCAATTGGCCTTGGTCCTAGTTATTTGGAATTCATTTGAATCATCAATTACCACTTATGCTAAAGCACATGCAAGGCATTTCACATGCGTCCTCTAGAAAATGTTCTTGTGGTGTGTATCATGTTTTTCTTTAAGTTACTCTTCGTTCATAGTCTCAAACCACACAAATCATGAATACTTGGTGCTTCCGTGAAAACTCTTGGACTTAAATACTGGGTGTTTCATAGGTTTTTTGGTTTCTGATCTGTTTGTCTCCTTGCGGATATTAGTGAAGATGGTGCAAGCAGGGAAAGGTCTGTTTGCATTTGTGTATATAGCTGCTGCCATATATTGAGCTACCCTGTTATAATTTTTGAATAAGTTAAATCATTTCAATTGTTTTTTTTTTCTTTTTTGTTTTACTCAAGTTGAAAGTGGATGATTAATTGAGTTCTCTGTCTACTTTGTTACAAATAGCAGGTTCTTCCAATTTTTCACCAAGTGGAAAATGGGGTCCAGCTCTCTGTTGTTCAGGGATACATGTCAAGATTTTACAGGTTAATAGTATATATATGCTCTTAGTAATTGATTATACATATGCTGAATATTCCTAAACATTTTATTTTTCAGAACTTATGGTGCATGGGTTGTAAAACATCCAGCTCTTGTGCTGTGCTCATCAGTTGCAATTGTTCTTGTATTATGCTTGGGTCTAGTTCATTTCAAGGTTGAGACACGACCAGAAAAGGTATCAAATGTTGCTGCTTTATAGTGATTTTTCATGACTTGCCAGAGAATCAAGACAATCAAAAATAATCCTTACCTTCATTGTACAAGCTTGCCATGACAAAACTGTCTCTCAGTAACCGGACACTGATTTCTGGATGTGCATATTTTCTCTTTTGATTTGGTTGTCCTAACTCCTGACAGTAATTCTTTCTGTTTAATTGGCAAAAGCATTTGATTGTTTGTTCATTTTTTTGTTGATTGTTTCCAATTTTACTTGCCAGCTCTTGTTATGCCCCTAATGCTCCTGGTTTTTCAACATGGATTATTTTCTGTATGAAGATAATATTGTATGTGGCTCACAGAAGAGTTCCTTTTCCTTTTACAAAGTTGTTGTATTTTGATGTGCTTTTCCCCCTTCTTCTTAGTAAGTTGGACAACATCTTAAAATTTCTAGATAATGACAATATAAAATTTATATGTCATGATATCATATTGAAGCCAAATTAATGAGCTTGGGATATTTTCATTTCCATCAGTGCCAATATTACTTGTTTGAGAATTCCATCAATGTCTAAGGTTTTGTGATAGTTTGTGATATCAAAGGATACCTCTCATCCTATTCTTTAGCTGCATTTTTGTTTAAAATTGGACTCTTTAGTCATCAAACCTTAATGGAGAATAAGGTCAATTGTATTTTTCCACTTTGAGTCATGATGGATAGAAGAAACTAGGCTTATGTCTAGTTTTTGATACTTTAGTAACTAATTGTCTGTTTGCAGAAGCTGGAGAGAATTGTTCCTTGTTATTTCGTTGCTTTTAAATTGTAAGATATTTGAATACTGATCAAGGCTTGACACCTGTGATTACATAGTTATGGGTAGGTCCAGGGAGTAAGGCTGCGGAAGAGAAACAATTTTTTGATAGTCACCTTGCCCCTTTCTACAGAATTGAACAGGTACTCCGATTTACTAAGTTTCAGTATCTTACTATTTCATCCTGTTTTTAATGAATAATGTTATAAAAGTGTCAGTAAACTCTACTCAATGTTTGCTGCTTACTTAGATACACCTGATCAAGAAGTAAATGCCTATCTTTTTGGGGGGGACATTGAAAAAGATCCCTTAAATTTGATGTTAAACATTTGACCTGTGTTTTTGAAAAATAAAGTAGCCCTTTCCATTGTGGGAATATTCCTTGTTCTGTTTATATTTGATGGAATTAAAACTAATGTGTTAAGTTGGTTTAAATTGAATTAATGTACTAATAAATTAAGTATAAGTTAAAGATTAACTTAAGATGAATGAATTAATTAAAAGACACAATATACTGAAAAACATGGTTAAGTTATGAGATGAAGTTATAAATTAACATATTTAATTTAAATATGTTCTATTAATAGCCCTGTCAGAAGTTAGCTTTGTTTGCTGATGGTGTAGCATGCTTAAATTGATGAATTTTCTCTACGGATGGTTTTGGCTTTAAGGCTGGCTCATGAACCTCTTCATGGCCCTAGCTATCATGTCTGTAAGATGACAAGGAAAAATCACACTTCCTGCTAACCATCAGAGTGATCTGGACATAAATTTGAAGGAACTTTTTTTTTTTTGGTTACAGTATGTATAAAACTCAATTGGTTGACATCCAACTACTTCTATGGCCATCTTCCTTAGTAGAGTATCAAAATAACTGTCATATAATTGTTATCTTTCTTCTTATGATCTTCTTGCTCTTGTTTTCATTATGTGGTATGGCATTACCATGGTGTCACTTTATGCAAGCAATTGAATGATATTTGGTATATATTTGTTTTAGCTTATCCTGGCAACCATACCTGATACAAAGCATGGCAAAGCACCCAGCATTGTTACAGAGGAAAACATCCTGTTACTATTTGAAATACAAAAGAAGGTCTTCTTTGTTCCTAATGCTTTATTCCAAATGAATCTTTTTGCTTTTCTTTTTCCTTTTGGTTATTGTATAAATCATATGTAATATATACACTTTCTTATATCCTCAAATGTTGACAGGTTGATGGACTTCGTGCAAATTATTCTGGCTTGACAGTATCTCTGACTGACATTTGCTTGAAGCCTCTTGGAGATGATTGTGCGACTCAGAGTGTTCTGCAGGTTTTCTTTCATTTTCCTGCATTTTTTTTTAGTTTGATTCAGATGTATCTCACCTATGCACGAGTCTAAGGATTTACTTTTGTCAGCCCTTTCTTTCTTCCCTTATTTAAATTTAGAGTGTGGAAATATATTTTCTTATTTCCCTCCAAATCAAGCAAATTCAAGGCCCTTGTACTATATTCTACTCTTAATCCTTCATCTTTCTTGACAGTATTACAAGATGAACCGTGAAAATTTTGATGATTATGGGGGAGTTGAACATGCCCAGTATTGTTTTCAGGTAAAGAACATAATCTTTTTTCGATAAGAGGTAAACAACATAATCTTCTTTATTATTTTCCATTAAAAGAGCTTTTTATTGTGAACTTGTAATTAGATTCAGGTTTTGTGGTATTTATGAACTTAACATTCTCTGAAGGTAGTTGACGTTCTTTTTCAACACTGAAATATTTACTAAAGTGGCTTATGGCTTTTGCTGCACATGAAGCAATAATTTTTTTCCAATGCATTGCCAGAATAAGATATTATAAGGAAAAGAAGCAAAAAAAAGTCTCTTTAAGCTTATTATTTGTAATCATGGAATCGCCTGAGTAACTGTGAAGAGTAACAATGTGTTTTCTACATACTGACCGTACTATCCTCCCGGTGCTTAGGGACATAGCATTGGTTAAGCTCGTAGGACTGTCTTACTAAACCAAGAAATTAGTTTTCCTAATGGTATATTTCCGGCCCGTCCTGTGAGATGGAGGAAATTTCAACACGACTTGCTGGGAAATTCACAACCTTCCACAGAATTATGAGATTACTGAATGATTCCCATCATGTCTCTGTTTCTTTTTAGTGAGAGAGAAAATACATTCCAAGCATCAAGGGGTTGCCAAAGTCCTTATATTGATATTAAGAGGATGACCTTAAACAAAAAGTACAGTCTTCAACAAAATGTCCTTACATCACAATTGGATGAAGCATATTTAATGAAGTTGAGTGTACCCCATTGTAGGAAACCCCCTTCCCCGTTTAGCGAGCCTTCTCTCAAAATAGGTCACCATCTGATCTCATAATACCTGCACAAAACTCTATACCAAGCCCTTCCTGAAAGGAATCAATTCAAACTTAGCCAAATTCATATTTGACCCTTGCATAGCATGGTAATAGAACAGAATATTTATGATGTTAAGTACATACTAAGAGGATGGCCCTTAAACAAAAAATGCAGTCTTCAATGAAAGGTCCTTACGTCAGAACTTTGTAAAGTATATTTAATGAGGTTGAGCATACCCCACTAGAGGAAACCCCCCTTCCTAACCAGTGAGCCTTAACCCCCTTGCTGACCAGCGAGCCTTAAACCCACTTCCTGACTGGAGAGCCTTCTCTTGAATTGGGCTACCATCAGATCCCATAATACCTGCGCAGAACTCTACACCAAACCTTCCCCAAGAGGAACCAATTCAAACTTAGCCAAATTCATCTTTAACCCCAATGTAGCATGGTAACAAAGAATAGAATACTTATGATACTAAGTATGGCTTTTTCATTAGTTCTTAAAAAAAAAAAGAGTATTGTACAAAAGGTAAGTGAGACATCCCTTGACCTCTTGGCCATCACCAAAAACCAAACCGTAAATCAACAAAAGCTCTTTGTTCCAGGCAAATGGCACGTTAAGGATGTCCATAAGAATAATAAAGAGAAGAGGAAGAGAGAATTCTTTTTTTCTGAGGTCTCCATAGGCTGTAAAGAATTTATAGACCACCATCGACAATGGTTTACGAAAGAGACAGTAGAGATGCAGGTTGCTGTCAGGTACACTATCTTTGCCAAATTTGTTTTTCCTCGGCATATAAAGCAAGAAATGGCGCAGGGTCATAAGTTTTTTTTTCTCAAGATTGAACATTAAATCCTTTAAAATCCCCTCCCCACGCCCCCACCCTGCACCCAATTTACAATTAATGCAAACCGGGAATCTCTCTCCCTTCGCAGGACACACACTACTAGCTTTTCATTTTTGATAGGAGTAGGTTCTGGTTCTGTCGGTGCTTGAAACAATTTTGTCTTCTCCATATTACTATATCTCTAGAGTCAATAATTTTATATGAGGAACTACTGAACTCAATCACTTGCTGCAAACCAGGAATCTCTCTCCCTCCACAGGACACACACTACCAGCTTTTAATTTTTGATTGGAGTAGGTGCTTTCTCTCTACTAAACGAGTCTCCACTGCAGCCCTTATCTTTAATCTTGAGTGAAGTCAAGTCATATCAATGAAGTGAACAGCCCAACCTCTTTTTGAAGCTTTTCTAGGAAGCTTCTACTTGTTGAAGCTTTTCTTTCCCTAATTCCAGAGCATGAGAAAAAGACTTGCAACTATAGTGTAGGACAAAGCTTCGCTTTGATAGCAGTCATTTTGGAGCGCTGGGGAAGCGGGGGACTTACCAAGCCTTTTAGCGAGCATTTTGTATAAGAGAATAGCGATGCAACCCACGAAGCTGACAGGGCTAAAGTTTGTGCACTCTCCACTTTAGGAATTAGCACGAGAAACACATTTGAGGTTGGATATAAAGGTCCGTTTATCGTTAAATAGTTAATTATGCCCTTATACATTGAACATGTACTTGGCAATTTGGCTTCATTATCTTTCACTTTTGAGAACTTTGTTGCTTTTTTTTTTCTCTGAAGGTATTTAGAAAAAAAAGAAAGATAAGAAGAGTTCCTGAAACTTCGGATTTTGTATATGCATTTTTGGAGTAACAAACTATATGTGATCATTGTTTTTTATTTTTTACAGATGGTAGGTTGTGTTTAGTGTCACTAATTGCTTGTTTTGCTCATCTGGGGCCTGTTTAATGGTTATTCTGGTTTTATGATGGTTATCCTCAATGGACTGCGGGATTACAACTAACTTTCTTTACATTATGTCTTCCCATCTTAAGCATTACACTTCTACGGAGACATGTTTGAGCGCTTTTCAGGCCCCTGTTGATCCAAGCACAGCCTTAGGAGGATTTTCTAAGAATAATTTTTCTGAGGTAAAAATTTCATCCCCTGCTTAGAAATATTTCTGTTTCCTGATCTTTTTATGTTGTTTCAACTTTCAGGCTTCTGCATTTGTTGTAACCTACCCAGTTAATAATGCAATTGATGAATCAAGTGATGAGAGTGGGAAGGCTGTAGCTTGGGAGAAGGCTTTCATTCAATTAGTGAAGGTTGAGCCCCTGCATTTTCTGCACAGCTTGCTCATATTTTCTTGAATTTTCTTTTTCTATGTGAGGATAATCCTGATTCTTGTATAATTCAGTAACCTTTTGTTTTCTTTTTCAGTATTCCAGAGACTTAAGGTGTGTTACACAACATTTTCTAAAAGGGTTCCCAAGAAGACAGATAATTAATAACAATCACTTATGGCTATTAGAAAATAGAAAATTCAGTTTTGGAAACAAGTTTTCCAATAAAACAAAATAGAAAACTAAAATATTTGTTTTCTTTTCTTTTTCACTTGACTGAGATTAAGTTACAATTTTATAAGAATTCTCTCTCTCTCTCTCTCTCTCTCTCAGATTTTCTTGTGGTTCCATCTATCTTTTTTCTCTAAATTACTTTTTGCTTTTTGTCTCCTAAATATTTCTATTTTCTCAATTACAATAGTTAAATACATTTTTCTATTTTCTTTTCGACACAACTTTTTTTCCATATCTACTGCCGTTAATAATAGGTTATGCAATCTTGTTGCTGTTGAAGTGTTTCGCAACTTAGAATCCAATTTTTGGAGTTAATGCAGCAATATCTTTGGCATTAGGTTTGTCCTCTTATCTAGGATCGGTATGTTTCTGTTTTATGAGAGAATTTCTGCACAAATGTTCACAATATAGGGCTAAGTTTTTCAAGCTTGCTGTAATACGTGTCAAATGAAATGGAAAGAGTAATGTTGTAAAATAGCTTTGCTAACCAATTAAATTGACAGGAGGGGCTCTTACCAATTGTACAATCCAGGAATCTTACTCTTTCATTTTCATCTGAAAGCTCAATTGAGGAAGAGCTGAAAAGGGAAAGCACAGCAGATGTTATTACAATAGCAGTGAGTGATGGGAGAATGGTTTTTCTCTTATTAATTATCTTCTTGAAAAAATATTTGTGTAATATGGTTTTGCTCTTGCTACCAAATTTATTAAATTATCATTTGTTCCCTTCTATACATTAATTGAATTGTTTCCACCTTTCTGATGCAACTTGTCCCAGGCAAGCTATCTGGTAATGTTTGCTTATATATCTGTGACATTGGGAGATTCATGTCGGTTATCTACATTTTACATCTCTTCAAAGGTATGGTTAGTGTGTTATATATATATATATATATATATATATACACACTCACATTATATGGTAATTATTTCAGTTGCATTATGTGTTTGTGACTACATAGGGCGCAATTGTATTTGTATTCCTAAATACACACATTAACTGCTGGTACTGATTCTGTCAGCAATGCACTTGAGCCTCATGTCTTTGGGGTGATTTAGGAACTCTTCTGGATAACTCCATTTCTTGTGGCCACCTCCTCTTCCTATTAATAACATTTTTTTTTTTGTGATACTTACTTTTTGTTTTTGGGATGGGTTGGGTGTTTTATCTTTCAAAATTTTATTCCGTTTCATGTATTTACGAGATGTATGATATAGTTTAGGTGATAAGCTAATGCTTTTCCCCTTTATGAGTCTCACAGAGGACCAGTCCTCTTTTTCTGTAAAGAAACTTTTAATCAATGTTAGTGATATAATAGAACGTTGTTTCATAGAATTAGGACAGGAAGATTGGATGCAGTTGAGTTCCAGATCATTGGAATTATGTCTAATACATGCAAACTTACTCTCCAATCTGTGGTTTCTCAGGTGTTGCTTGGTCTTTCAGGCGTTATGCTTGTCATGCTTTCTGTCCTTGGATCTGTTGGATTTTTCAGTGCTATTGGAGTTAAATCTACCTTAATCATAATGGAAGTCATTCCTTTCCTGGTTCTTGCTGTAAGTTATTCTTCCTTCTGTACTGGTATGTATGACACTTATACATTTAGCAGGTATGACCCATTAAGGAACATGTCTAAATTATATGTATATACTAGCACTTTTACAGGCGTTATGTGCATGGCAAATCGTGTTATTTATTTTCTTATTTTAAAACTAAATATGGTATATGTTTTATATATTGTTTTCATGAAATGTATTCCAAACTTTTATTCCTTTTATAATTTGAATATACTTCAAAACTTTTTGTGGTTGTTTTTATATGATAATAATTTGTTACAGTGCATTATGGTTTTTTCTTTATTAGTAGAAAAGGGATCTTTCTAAAAATTACTTATTACATATTTCAGCATAAAATGTGCATATAAACGTAGATATGTTCTAATTATTTAACTGTTAATTATAATTTTATGGTTTTGGAATTTCTATTGCTCACTTTTGATATTGATTTTATTACAGTATTGAATATTTTGTTTGTTGTAGTAACTCATTTTTTGTGAAAATTTAAAAGATAAAAAGGATTAATTATTGCAATAATTTGTATAAACTTAACAAAATGAAAAATAGAAATTATTTAATAATTTTTAAATTAATATTTAATTTTTTTATTTATAAAATTTATAATATGATTATATGTCAGGGATCCTAAGCACCAAAATAATACCAACAATAATAATGATAGTAATAATAATTCAGAATTAATTATGTGTTTATGGGTGTTTTATTGTTTGTATATTGGCAGAACATATGGGACTAAATTCTAGCAAGTAGTTGTTAAAGTTGACCAAGTCTAGGATGATAAGCTAAGATAGTTTTAGCAGTTATTCATAAGCAGTGCAGCAGTTTTTTATATGAAGTTTTAAACAGTTTCCATGAAAAATTTTGGTAGTTACTGTTTTCTGCCAAGAAAAGACACTCTTCCTGTAATTTCTGTCATATAAATCCATATTTCTAATCTATGAAAGTTATAGAGGAAAATTATTAAGTGTTGAGTACTTACTCAAGAGGTCGTAGGGCTCTGTCCTAATGAGTTCTAGTTTTCTTCAGAATAAGTAAAGGTAGGAAAACACAAAAACACCCAAAAATTTCTGAAGATTTTAATGTTAAATCATCTCATAATTAGATCCATTAGTAGGGCCTCTGCCATTATACTTGGTGATTTTTTTTTATTTGTGTTCATTTAGTATTTATTATTGATATAAATATTTCTTTCGTATTTTATGTGTTATTTTTAAAATTATGATAAATAATAAAAATATAAAACTAATAAGTTAGTTAATGAAATAACATTTGTATTAATCAGCTGTAATGAAATAATAGTAGATTAAATGAATCTCTGACATTAATATTTGAGAAAATTATACTAAAAATATAACCACCATATTATGTACATTAATAAAATATAGAAAAATAATCGAGTTAATCATTAAATTTGATATTAAAGATGCAATTATTGATAGGTGATTGTACCATGGAGTGATCAGTGGATGTAGAATGAAGAATACGATAAGAGAATTGGAGTTTGATAATGCAGTAGTTGAGAGGAGGGTAGAGGCCATAGAACGAGAAATAATTCAACATTTTTGAAAATTATACGCTGAAGAGGTGGAATATAGAGCTTTCCTTAAGAATATTGATTGGGCACCTATTAGTAGGCATTAGGCAAACTGGTTAAAAATACCATTTGGTGAAGAGGAAATTAGCCGGACAGTTTGGGGCTTGGGGATAGTCCGTTATGTTTTTTCTGTTAGGTTCTTCAAGAGTTGTTGGGAAACAATAAAGACCTACTTAGTGCGTTTGATCAATTCTACTTAAAAGCCACTATTTGCAAGAATATGAATTCTACCTTTATCACTTTAGTTCTTAGAAATGAAAAGTCTATGAAAGTCTCCGAATATCGCCTAATAACTTTAGCGACAGTTTGTACAAGATCATCATTGAGTACTCTCTCTAAGGATTAGTAAGATCTTGGATGACACGATTTCACTAAACCTTCATGCTTTTTATAGGAGGTAGACAAATTCTGGATGCATTTCTACCGGCAAATTGAGTAATGGATTTTATATGTAAGTCAAAGGAAAAATGGTTGATTCTTAGATTGGACTTTGAGAAAGCATGTGATGGAGTTCACTGGATTTCTAGATGGAGTTATGGATCATAAAGGTTTGGGAACTAGATGGAGAAGGTGGACTAGGATTGTTATCATCAGTCCTTGTGGTGATACTTGTTGATGGTAAGACCCAATAGTGGATCCAAGAAATGACATGTTTAAGGCAACAAGATACCATCTTTCCATTTCTCTTTATCCTAGATGTACTAATTAGGATGATGATTAGAGTAACTTAGAGATAAAGGGGGGAAGTTCATTCACAAGCACCAAGAAACTGCCAATCCATATACAAAAATATTTACATATCAATCAAAATATTAAAATCTGTCGTTAAATAAAGATGATGACCTATTAACAAAAATCTCAGGGTTTAGAACCATTTACCCTCTTTCCCTATCAAAGTCATCTTTTATCCCCACAACAGCTCTCCTATTTATTTTTTTTTTCACACCACGCAAAAAATAATAAAGGGAATGAGAATAATATGTTTCTTCACTCTACTAACCCCCTTCCACATCCAAATTTCTTCCCTAATCGAAGTGGGCATCATCTAACTGATGCTTAGTAACCTATAAGCCAAAATCCATAATTTATATACAAGCGGGTACCTACATGATTCCTCCTCATTTTTACATAAAAAATGTCCGTTCACCAATATTTTCCCCCTTTTAATTAGATTATTAATAGAAAGGATACACCCTCGACCTACTTCCCATGTGAAGAAAGTAACTAGTGATAGAGCATTAACCTTTCAGATTTTCGGAAAAGGAAAACTAGTGTCCATAACATCATTTTCAATTAGATTACTATACAAAGACTTGACCGAGAAAGACCCCCTAGCATTGAGTCTCCAAATTGGTTGACATTGTTGTTCCTACTGATTTAGTGGTAGAAAGTGGTTGGAGGAAAGTCTCATGGTCATTTACTTCACAATCATTAAGATTTCTCGTAACTTCCACAGGGATAGAGGGAGAGAATTTATGGTTGCGGAGGACAAGTTGGAGTTACTACATCTACTATTTGCTAATGATACAATTTTGTTCTTACATGATGATAATAGGTCAATTAGGAATGTGATTACTCTTATTCAAGTATTTGAGATATTAGGATTGGAGATAAATTTGGGGAAGAGGTCTCATAAGAATTAATGTGGATGATGCAATTGTGTTGAATAAAGCCAATCCAAGGAGCAAATCATATCCATCAAGAACTGAATTTATCTTTATTATTTAAATGTCTTTAGTCCATCAAGAACCGAACTTTTTGTGGTAAAGAGTGATTAGAAGTATCCATGGGAGTGACAAGGACATATGGGATGCCTCATTAGGAAGATTCATATCCCACTAAAGTCCTTGGAAAGTAACTTCCCAAGCACTTCCGTTGTTCGTTCTCCTTGCTGGACTCCAAGTGGGAGATGGATCTAGAGTGAGAATTTGGGAAAATACCTGGGTAAAATAATAAGCTTTAGCCACACAATTTTCCCGACTGTTTAGTTTTTCTTCAATGTACTTAATTGGGTGATGCCTCCTATATTAGAGGGTTTTATTTGCTCTATTATTCACGGGATAGGAGTGAAGAGAGAAGCTTAGCCTCCAAGGCAAATAGCAACATTTTCCAGTCTATGATGTATTTTGCTAGCAAGGAACCGTTGGATTTTCATTGACCAAACGACAACCTTGAATGAGTTACGGGAAAGGATAACTTTCATGGCAACCTTATGGGAAACTCATATGGACATTGTGGAACAATGTGCTTTACACATGTATAAATTAAATTAGGGAAGTCTGAATATAATAATTAGTCTCCCTAGAATTAGATTGATTTGGTTAATTCTTTTTTTTTTGTGGTGTCATATCCACAGATTATGAGGTGGGAATATCCCACAGATTATGGGATGTGAATATCCCACACATTAAATGCTAGAGCTCCTGTGTATAAACCAGTTGTAATTGTAGTACAAAATGTAATTTTTCCTCACAAACTACAACGTGGTATTAGAGCTTTAGGCTCTTTTTTGGGGAACTGAAACGCTACCCTTCATAGTAGGGTTCTGCCTTCATAAAAGGGTTCTTTTTTCATTTTTTTGTTGTTCTGTTATTGAGGAGTTTTCTAAAACTCTACTTCATTATCAAGGTTCCATTGATTCGCCGCTACAATTTTTTTTGACCTACCACTTTGTACGGAATTGTACAAAATTGCAAGCTGCCCCCTATTTCTGCCCTACCGCCACTGCTGCCAGGAAGTTTTTGTAAGAGAGTACCTGAATTGTATCAGTCTTCATCGCTGATATTTTACTTGACTCGAACCGGTCTTAATTGCCTTGGGACTGCTTGGTTCGATTAAGAATGTCGGAAGTGGTAGAAACAACGACTATGATACCATTGGAGGATGTAGAAATCGTTAGACCTCAAGTTGGGAAATTGCAAAACATTCAGGCAGCATATAGGCTGAATGGAAAAAACTATCTTAAATGGTCCCAACTTGTTTGGATTGTGTTGAAAGGAAAAGGAAAAATTAGTCACATCTTAGGGACAGGGCCAAAACCGAAAGATCCACAATTTGAAGTGTGGGATGAGGAGGATTCGATGATCATGGCATGGCTATGGAACTCTATGACTCCAGAGATTAGCAACACATGTATGTTCTTAGCCACTGCCAAGGATGTAGGAGATGTAATTCAAGAAACGTATTTCAAGGCAAAGGATGCTGCCCAAGTCTACGATGTCAAAGTTAAGACGATCGTTGCAAAACAAGAAGATAGGATTGTCACTAAATATGCCAATCAAATGAAGACTCTATGACAAGAACTTGATCATTATAGAGTAATTAAGACCAAGTGTCTCGATGATGCAGCAATTTTGAAGGAATTTATTGAACAAGATAAAGTTTA